TGCTAATACGTGTGAATATAATGCAACTGGAATATGCTTCATGCAAAAGGTCTCTTGTAATGTATCATTACAAAGCTTATAATCTACTGAGTGTGGTCAACCTATTTGTATAAATGTATCATTCTTGTCTCTGAAACTAGAAATATGAAGTTAACTCTGAGGTCCTATTGTAATTATGCAAAGCGTGGGCCATTAATGGTGGTTTGGAATCTTGATGGCTCTCATTAATCAGGACAACTGACTGTAGATGGCTCTGTTTACTTGCAAGCCTTCCTGTGAGTCAGGCCGGGAAGAATGAAGCCTTGGGGTCTCACAGGACATGTGACCATGTCACCTGGTACTGGAATCCATCTTAAACCTGGTGCTTTTCCATTTAGAAGGAGGGGTGGGGACCCAGATAGACAAAAGATTCCCGCCTTGTGCCAAAGCTATAAAAGGGGGTGCAACAGAACAAAGGGGGCTGCAGTCATGAGAAATCCCCTAGCTACCACCTGAGCTGGAACAAGGACTGCACCAGGGGAAAAGATTGGGCCCAGACTAGAAAGGAGTCTAGTACGTGAAAGAAGCTTATTGGAACATCTCTGAGGGTGAGATTTTATTTGTAATCAGTTTCTTAATGTATTAGGCTTAGACTTGCGTGTTTTTGTTTTATTTTGCTTGGTAACTTTCTTTGTTCTGTCTGTTATTACTTGGAACCACTTAAATCCTAGTTTTTATATTTAATAAATATCCCTTTTCCTTATTATTGAACCCAAAGTAAGTAATTAATTCCTAGCGGAGCAAACAAATGTGCATCTCTCTCTATCAGTGTTATAGAGGGTAGACAATTTATGAGTTTACCCTGTATAAGCTTTATACGGATTTATTTGGGGTTTGGACCCCATTGGGAACTGTGTATCTGGGTGATGGAGACAGGAGCACTTCTTAAGCTGTTTTCAGTTAAGTCTGCAGCTTTTGGGGGGGGGGGTAGTTCAGACCTGGGTCTGTGTTTGCAGCAGGCTAGCGTGTCTGGCTCAACCAGACTGGGTACTGAAGTCCCAAGTTGGCAGGGAAAACGGGCTCAGAAGTAGTCTCAGCCCATCAGGTGACAGTCCCAAGGGAGTCTCTGTGACTCAACCCATCACAACAGCACATGGCAGAAAAGGGATATAAACCTCAAACATATGGAACTAGGTATCTCTATGCTGCTTGACTCTGTGGGGCAAGGTTTTTCCAGGCACTAGCAAGACATCCCCAGTTGCTTAGCCTGGGTTTACCCTAAAGGACATATAGAGCTTGCTGATTAGAGAAGCTTCTAATACCGTTTGAAACTTAAGATAGATACACAAATGAGTTACTATGTTTACCTGCTTTAACCTTGTAAGCAGTTCTCTGGTTTCCTTTTCATATTTAATAAATCTGTATATAAATTATTATAGGATTGGCTACAAGCATTGTCTTTGGTGTGAGATCTAAGATGCAATTGACCTGCAGTAAATAACTGGTCCTTTGGGACTGGGAGTAACCAGAATTTTGCTGTAATTCTTGGTGTAAGGGACATCTCTCCTAAAGGTATGCTCACCGGGGTTGCAAAATAGATCAGACTACCAAGGGGACTGTCTCTGACTGAGAGGGGACATGAGAACAGTTTTCAAGTACATAAAAGGTTGTGACAAGGAGGAGGGAGAAAAATTGTTCTTCTTAACCTTGAGGACAGGACAAGCAATGGGCTTAAATAGCCGCAAGGGTGGTTTAGGTTGGACATTAGGAAAAACTTCCTGTCAGGGTGGTTAAGCACTGGGATAAATTGCCCAGGGAGGTTGTGGAATCTCCATCATTGGAGGTTTTTTAGAGCAGATTAGACAAACACCTGTCAGGGATGGTCTAGATAATACTTAGTCCTGCCTCAGTTCAGGGGACTGGACTAAATGATCTCTTGAGGGCCCTTCCAGTTCTATGATTCTATGATTGTAGCAAGGCCTTTGTCCTCAGAAGATTCCATACCTGGAACTGCCTGGATTCAAGGCATCCCAGACAGAAGTGAGGTCAACTTCAACAGTCCTCAAACCTGAGCCCTGCTATCCTGAGACAGGGCCGGCTCTAGGCACCAGCAAAACAAGCTGGTGCTTGGGGCGGCACATTTTTAGGGGCGGCATGGCCGGCGCCAGAATGCTGCCCCTAAAAATGTGCCCCAGCCGCCCTAGCTCACCTCCGCTGCTGCTGCCGCTCGCACACCACGGCGCGCAAAACAGCTGATTCGCGCGCCAGGCTCTCAAACCTGGGAGGGAGGGGGAGATCCCGAGCGGCCGCGGCGCGCGAAACAGCTGTTTCGCGCGCCTCTGCTCCCCCTCCCTCCCAGGCTTGAGAGCCTGGGAGGGAGGGGGAGACTCCGAGTGGCCGCGGCGCGGGCGCCGCTACTCCCCCTCCCTCCCTTCCTCCTAGGCTTGAGAGCCTGGGGGGAGGAGGCAAGGCTGGGGATTTGGGGAAGGGGCGGAGTTGAGGCGGGGCCAGGGGTGGGATAATTAAAAAACAGGGTGGGGGGGCGGCCAAAATTGTTTTTGCTTTGGGCGGCAAAAATCCTAGAGCCGGCCCTGGTCTCCTGAGAGGACTCCCAAACTGATGAACAATGATAGAACAGTGCTCACAGAAGAAGAAGAGGAGGTAGAAGGACCCCATGGAAGAAGGGCCAGTTGCACAAAACTGAAAACAATTATGAGCCAAATCAGCTGAAAGAGAGTTTAAACAGAAAACATGAGTGACAATTTGGAACCGTTTAAAGAACATTTCATTAGAGCCCCAAAAATCCACAATCCTACAACTGAGGAAGAAGGCTACGTGGGTTAAAAAATGATCTGACCAAGAAGAGAAATAAAAAATATTTTTAAAAAAAATAGATAACAAATGGAGAAGAGGGGAAGTTGATTGTGATTAATATAAATCAGAAGCTAGGGAATGTAGAAAGCCTGTAAAGGAATCCAAAGGACACAAGGAGAAATAAATGGCCAGCAGAGTTAAGGAAAATAAAAAGAAGTGTTTAAAGTGTATTAGAAACAAAAGGAGTCCTAGCAATGGGACTGGTACATTGCTAGATGGAAATGGTAGAATTGTCAGTGATCATGCAGAAAAGGCAGAAGTGTTCCATAAACATTTCTGTTCTATATCTGGGGGAAAGCCACATGATGTATTCATATCATAATGATAAAATACTTTCCATCCAGCAGCAACTCATGAGGATATTAAACAGTAACTACTGAAGCTAGATATTTTCTAAATAAGGAGATCCAGATAGCTTGCATCCAAGAGTTTTAAAAGAGCTGGCCAATGAGCCCTCTGGATTGTTAATGTTGCTTTTCAATAAGTTGTGAACACTGGGGAAGTTCCAGAGCACTAGGGGGGAAAAATGTATGTTGTACCAATACTTAATAAAAGGGTTAATGGGATGACTGAGGTAATCATAAGCCTGTCACCTGATGTGTTTCTTAAACATATTCTTTAGTCAAGCACAAGGTATTGAGCTCAATAGGGGGTAACTGGATGAAATTTAATGGTCTCGGACATACAGAAGGTCGGACTAGGTGATCTAATGGTCCTTTCTGGCCTTAAACTCTATGAATGTGAACATGGTCTAATGTCATAAACTTCCAAGTAATTTAATCAGCTCAGGACTCAGATTTAAAGTATGAGTGTAATGAGGAAGCAGGCTATCTCTGTACAAGAACCAGGACACTCAGTTCTGAGGCATCCCAATCAGACCTCCACCTGTTCTGAGCCCTGCACTTCCATCAAGCCCCATAGAGATCGCTTATTATAGAAGCTTCTATTACAGTCTTAAATTTCAAAAGGTAACTAATTTTTATATCTATGTTTACTGCCTTTAACCCTGTAAATAATTCTCCAGTTTCCTTTTCCTTTTAATAAATCTGCATACAGTTTATTACAGGATTGGCTACATGCATTGTTTTTGGTGTGAGATCTAAGGTGCAACTGACCTGGGGTAAGTGACTGGTCCTTTGGCACTGGCAGTAACCTGAATTTTACTGTGATGGTTAGTGTAAGGGACATTTCTCACAAAGGTAGGCTCACCTGGGTGGCGAGACAGATCACAGTACCCAAGGAGACTGTCTGTGACTCCACATTAAGGCGGAGGAGTTTACCCTTGATAATTGCTTAGTGAAATCCAAGTATAGCACTCACAACCAGTTTGGGGTTTGTACCCTGTTTCCTCACAGTCAGCCCTGGGGTTGGTACTCACACTCTTGTCTCTCTGGAGAACAGCTTGACACACTCATTGGTTGGAAATCTGCCTACGCCATGCAGCAGGCATGGAGCCTACTCTGTACTAAAAGTAACAAACTTCACACTATTATTTTAATACAGAAATAAGAGCATGACTAATCCTATCCCAGACCTGCACTAAAGGACACAACAAAGGCGGGGAAAGAGTGAGAGCTCCATACTCACTACAGAAGCAGTGAGAAAAGTACTAGCTGGGACCAGTGCAGCAGCTCCTTCCACACCTTCAATATCAAACATCTGGATCTGCCAGGGACCATGCACCCAGCCCCAACAGTCACTGCTTTTGTGGAGGGTTCAACGCACTGTTGGGGATGTATGTGCTTCTCACATAGATGGGCAATTCCTGAAGGACTCAGAAGCCAGGATCCGTCGAATCTATTCTGAGAATACTTCTGATCCCCATGACTGCCTCATCTAGAGAACCCTTGCCTGTCCTATGTGTTCATTTAGCCTGACAATTCCAGGCCTCTGTATCTCCCAAAGACAGTCCTTTCCAACTTAAGAAACCCAGGCTCCAACCCCCCCTGAGAGAAACATAATAAAAACACATGAGTGCGACTCTTTGCTAAAGGCCCCTGTCACTCAAAACCCAACTCCCACCTTTCCCCTAATGCCACTTGCTACCCTCTCAAGCAAACTACTACTCCCCCCAAATCCCACTGTATCCCAAAGCAAGCAGCTGCCCCCATTCTGCCATCCCCCATCTCTGGGGAAGCTAGTCTCACCTCCAGTGTCCGGATCATGGAAGTTGGGGTCCAGTCCCTTCTCCAGCAGTCTGCAGACCTTCTCCACATTTAGCATTTGCACGTACTCCATGAACTTCTTCAGATTTGCCTGCAGCCATGACATCCCAGGAAAATACACAACACACAATGTTAACACCCTGTTACTGAAGGAAAAAGCCACTGGGGGAAACACACCCTTCCTGGAGACCCAAGGTATACTGGAAGCAACATCCACCAGAGCCAGTGGGGCACATAATCACTCCCAGCACCTTAAACCAGCCAGAGGGCAAACTGCAGATGAGCTACCAGGGACACACTTCCTGCCCCAGAGATTGGGGACAGTTGAAGCGTATCATGGAAGCCAGAGCCATTGGGGCAAATAACTGTCTCCCCCTGCCCTCCACCCAAGTCCCCAAGATACACTTCTACCCTCCCACTAGATATCTTCTATTCATATACACCATAAATCGAAACATTTTCAGCATATAAAACTGTGACACAGACACACTATAAACTGAAGTCTCAGCAGTTATGTGATTTTTAGTAACAACTTCTCCAGCAAGACCACACACTGCTTGAAACCTAAGGTGACATGCCAGCTTCCTGTTAGGCAGTAAAGTCAAGCTGATGCCTGTAAAATGTATGGCGGATGGCTTTATTGGTATCTCTTGTTTACACTATCTTGTCCCCAGTCAACATTTTAAAGTGGTATAATCCATCTATCTGCCTCTTGAACTTAAAGCACTTAAGTGAGATGAGATCAGGCTCCTTGAACATTGACTCTTATTGTGAGATTTTATAACTGGAGTCACTGTCGCTTTTACTCTCTACTTCATAACTGTGCTTTTATTATTGATGTCACTTTCAGCCGTGGGCCTCCCAAATGGGGCCAGCAATTAGACCTGTTCTCAAGGGGGTTGTCTTTTCTCAGCTGCACACAGGTCCTCCTTTTAAGACTGTGGATTTTTTTTCCATTATAATTTTTAGTAAATATATTTATTTAAGCAAATTCCACACAAATGCGTAGGTTCCAGAAGTTGCTGATTTGAGGAGACAGCCCCAAGCAGATAGACAGCAGACCTACATGAGCACAACGGAGCTTGAACATGCTCAGTCCCCAAGGGGCTTTAGTTCAGCTTCCCAGATTTGTGTCACAGGAATTTCTTCCTCTGAGACGTGTGTTATCAAACCCGGCAATAGCCAGCTTTGATGGAAGTGTGGGGCAGTGCCTATCGCAAAAGAAATAATATTAATAATGATCTGGCTAGTATGAGTCTCAGAAAAAAACCCTGTCGACAATGTTCAAGGAAACCACCCCAGAACTCTGCAAGCAAAGACCAAAAGAGCCCTTATGGCTCCACCAGCAATCAGCATCCAGCAGCACCCTCCTCCTTGCTGGGAAGATGGTGGAGGGAAGTCAGCTGGATACAGTCACCAATGCAATAAAGCTTCAAAGTGATCCAGTTTGAAGTGAATCTGCACGGGGCTTTGAACTCAGTTTAAACCAGGATCATATGTGATTTCGCTAGTCAGTGCAGACAGGGCCAAAGGATATCAAAATATTTTTCTAATGCTATGCTGGCACCTACAGCAAGCCCCTAAAAACCAGCTGAGAACCAGTCCCAGTTCAGCATCAGAAATAAGAGTCCAGGAAAATGAGATCCCGGGAACATAACATACATCCGTTGTTGCTCTCCTTCCCAACAGCCACCACAGCAAGTGCTGCAGCTCTGAACTTGGGGTAACATTTAAATGCCAGTGAGAGGCCAGGGAAGTGAAGACATAGAGAGGATTCAATTTTACGAGACACCAAAACCTGAAGCTTGAAGAAATCAACGTGCAAATTGAGTTGCAGCACATTCTGATACTCTGGATGCCCCTGGCAGAGCAACAGAGCAGGGCCACAGACAAAGGCAGAGGAGAGGAATTCCTGGTTTATTAGAAAGTGCTGAACCTGAAGCCTGATCACCTTTCCCTCCAAGTCCACGTCCCACCCCAGCTTCCCTGCTTCACAAGAGGCCCCCCATTGAGACATTCTCTGATCATTAGCCAAGGAAAAGCAGCCTATGACAGCAGCTGAAATGAGCACCAAATTAGGCTGAGGAACACCGCAGCTGGCTCACTAGGACATGAGAAGCAGCTCAGAAAGCAAAGAGGATCCAGGTCATTAGGGCTGGACGGTGCTGGCAAAGGTTACCAGGATATCACGTTCCTCAGTACAAACAGTATGACAGAGTGAGCGCTGCTGGAGAGGAGGACATGGCATCAATTTCTGTATGCCCCAAACCTCCCTGCCTCCTAACAATGGTGAAACACCCCTCAAACCTCACCTGCTCCCCAACATTGGTGAACCATTCCCCAAACATCTCCTCACACCCCAACAGCAAAAGAGAAATAAACCCTCCCAAGCCCCTTCCCAAACATCTTCAGATATTTCCACACTGTTATAATATCCTTCCCACCCACAACTTATCCAAATTGTAGTGATTTAACTCTGATCACCCCAGGCCCACACCCTCCAATTTCAATATATTTCAGTACGTTGCACTAGAACAGGGGTCGGCAACCTTTCAGAAGTGGTGTGCCGAGTCTTCATTTACTCACTCTAATTTAAGGTTTCGCATGCCAGTAATACATTTTAACGTTTTTAGAAGGTCGCTTTCTATAAGTCTATAATATATAACTAAACTATTGTTGTATGTAAAGTAAATAAGGTTTTTAAAAAGGTGTTTAAAAAAGGTTTAAGGTGTTTAAGAAGCTTCATTTAAAATTAAATTAAAATGCAGAGCCCCCCGGACTGGTGGCCAGGACCCAGGCAGTGTGAGCGCCACTGAAAATCAGCTCGTGTGCCGCCTTTGGCACGCGTGACAGAAGTTGCCTACCCCTGCACTAGAACCATCTACCTCTTGTATACACAAATTTGCCTCTAAAGTTTCCCATTGCTGCCCACACTGGGAATGCCCCATAGGAGGAGCACTAGCATAGAAAAGATGCCAGCCATCACCAGTTTTCTTATCACCATGTCACTAATCCTTCCCAAGGCAATTCTAAATGACCTGGTGGTAAAAACGGTGGTGATCGGCACCCTGTCACATACACTAGTACTCCTACTGGTGCTTGCGCCCATGGAGCTGAACTGGTGTTAGCAAGAGTGGAAAATTTGGGAGAAAAAATAGTTAGTGTGGGCACAGGCAAAGGGTGTGCACATGTGGTAGGATTCCTCAGGAACCCAAAACTGCATTGGCCATTTTTCTGCCTCATCACACTGCAAACATACTCTCCCCACTCAGTCTCACCTTGCTGCTGCGGCTCTGTGGGCTTCTCCTGCCCATTGAGGACATGTTATTTTGGATTACCTTTTTCCACATGCATTAGCAATAGTTTGCACATTTCCAGGGTCCAATCAGACTTTCCTCTTTTACACCGCATTCCACAGGATGGCAGCACACACACAAAAACAGGACAACAACCCTCCCATTGGAAACCAGTAATCTTCCTGCACAGCTGTCAAGAGGCTGCTTTGTACTCTTCCTGGAGTCTTTAGGAATGCAAGAGTGTCTCTCCACTGTGTCTCTTTCCTCACTAGTCCCAAACAGCTTGAGTCTGCTCTAGTTTCTCCTCCCGGGCAGACTTGATTCTTAAATATTAATGAGAACATGCCAGCTGCATGTTCTTTAATGTCTGGCAAAGGACCCCCAGACACCCTTCCAAACCCTTTCCCTCTGCTTTCTTCTCCCTCTCTCTTTCAACCTGCAACCCAATCCAGCTAAGAAGGCTGTCACCACAGACCAGGGCTGAAATCCTGCTTCACGGAAGTCCCATGGAAAGACAAAACTCCCATTCACTTCAGTGGGGAAAGATTTCGCCCCAGGATTCTGCATGATGCAATGTCATCAAATGACAGTTTAATATTCACTTTCATCTTAAACAATGTTGATACACTAAAGAGGGGGGTCTTGCTCCCACCAACTGACCGCAGCAGGATCCAGAACCCAGCATGCTAGTGCTGGATCGAGACTCCTGTGCTCTGAGCACAGCAGGATCGAGAGCCAAGCATGATAGTGCTGCATTCACGCACTTCCATCCATTCTCCTGTTCACAATCTAGACTCCAACAATTCCATCATTCCTCTCACTCCCTTTGTTCCCTTATTCCCTGATTCTGTTCCCCACCTCAACTACCAGACAATCTCCACGTCATCCTTCAAATCCCTCCTCAGATCCACCTCTTTCTATAATCCCAGAAATGTGCCTTTAATTCGCTATAAACAACTAAAAATTTTAGTGTTTCAATAAACCATGGTGCTAATGTGATGCATATTGTATCATCCCCGTTGCCTGTTTGCTTCTTCCTCTACTCCTGGGTCTATATTTTGTCTGTATGTTGTCCATTCAGACTGCATGTGCCCCCAGGCATAGACTTGTCTTACTCTACCCCCGTAAAACACCTTCCTTGTACTGGGTGCTATTATATTATGGGTTATTTTCACTCTGTCCACACTCTGGGTTTTTTCCAAAACACAACACACAGTTCCTGCACAAAGAGCTTCCAATCTAAATGCTGACATGAGGCGAAGAGAAGTTGACATGCCGTAAGGAAGAGGAGGGCAGGGTCACAGCAATATCAGCACAAAGGGTTGCAGGTGCCTAAACTGAGTATCTTGGTGGTCTAATTAAAGTTTGATTTATTAATTCAGTAATAGTAGTCATTGACTCATCAGATAATAACCCTCATCCACTTCGGAGAGAAGAATTCATGCCCTAGGACACTGGCTACCACACAGACAGCCACCAGGTGCAGAGAGAGCAGCTCACTAGCGACCTGTTAAAGGTAGGAATTGTTAAGATCTATGAAAACACCAGCTCCTTTCAGACCCTCACCACAGGCTGCAAAATTCTCGGAGGCAGAAGGATTCTTCTCTGGTTGCATCGTGTCCTGTGTTTGGAACAAAAAGTGCAAAACCAAACTCCTGCTGCAGAGCTTGAAGTGCAGCATGAACTGCGGGTTTTGAGGTTCATGATACCATTACACCCACTTTTTTCCTGAATAACTTTGAGATCTGTGCTGGTGACCTTCAGAGCACAGATCAAGATTATCCAGTTTTAACTG